AACTTGTTCAGACAATGAATTATAAGATCACATTCTAAATCTAAAATATACCAATCAGTTGAATTTTTAGTCCAATTGACGAATTCTTGATTGTATCTAACTTTTTTAATATTAGTATCTATTTGTATAATATATATACTATAAAAGCTAATTTGATATCTGGAGCCTTTTTTATATTTCTTGTCAAGTTTTATTGGTTGACAAAAACAATCTTTTTTATAAACTTTTGTATAAATTAAACATATTAAACATATTGGGTAAGCATTCAAACAAAATTTTAATAATATTGACATTATAATAATAAATTTATTTGTAGAACAGGTATTATATTTATTTATTATAGTAATTTTTGAAATTGTAAAAACAATGTAATTTAATTTATGATGTAGATATTATATCAATATTACAGTAAATAAAAATTTAAAAATATATTTTTTATATACCGATCATGCCAAAAAAATTACTGGCTGAAAAATTTTTCAGCTAATTTCTTTATAGGTGTTTCAGGAATAATAAAAACAGCTGTAATACTCCGAAACAAACCTTTTGAGACCATGCCCAGCCTATGTGACAATCCACATTGAACTTGAACAAGTTTATGAACATTTAAACTGAACCCAGACTGAACTTGAATCTGGTTTAAAAGTTCAATATTAAACTCAGACCAAACTGTATTTTTAAAAATAAGTCTGGTTTGGGTCTGGTTCAATTTTGAACTGAACTTGAACTCAACCCAAAGTTTGGTCTGGTTCAGGTTTATAGAAACACTAAGAGTATCTTATAATTGCAATTATTATTCAACTGATTGGTATATTTTAGATTTAGAATGTGATCTTATAATTCATTGTCTGAACAAGTTTTTAGATCAGTTCTAAATTATTTCTTAAAAGTCTAGTCTAGATCTAATCTATATTCATTTATTTGAACTCAGTATTTATTATACATAACATGTTAATATTATATGTTCTAAAAATAATCTATTCTTTTTATTGAACAATATGCAATTATTAAAAATTTAAAATTGCTATCATTTTCTAATCTAAATGCTATAAATAAAAATAATATTAGTATTATAAATTAAATAATATGATTTTGCAGTAATATAATTTGAATAATAATTTTATTCTTTCAATCAGTGTGAGTTAAATGACATGTTGCTTTTTGTACTATATGCAATTGTTAATAATTTAAAATCAATATCCTTTTCTAATATAAATGCTATGATTTTATCTGCTATAATTATTTAGCAAGATTCTTTGTTAGTTTATTCTATTTAGATCTTATTTTTAACATGCATATAATATTATACTATAAATTGCATATTTATTTGTTAAGGTTAATACTGATAAAGTTACTTATTTTTTGTAAGTATTAAATCAAGGATATTTTTTTTTATAAATATAAACTTTTTTGACTAGACATTTATTTTTTATTTTTTTTTATTTTTATTTTTTAATATTAGGGTGTAGTATCTGGCCCAGACTTTTATTAATACTTACCGTACTACCGCGAAATAGCACACACCTGCGCGGTATTTCGATCACCTGCGCAGTATTTCAAGTACGCGCATGTGCGCTATTTCAAAATCAACCTAGTTTTTATAAAATTCGGTGCTTTGACTAACTATGAAGTGCGTAATTTACTATTTGTTTTTTGATATTTCTTATTGTAAAATTATATAGATGACGTCTAACCCATCTTTTTGCGGGAAGATGGGTTAGATGTTAGCTATATGATTCTACAATAAGAAATGTCAAAAAACAAATAGTAAATGACGCACTTCATAGTTAGTCAAAGTACCCTGATTTCATAAATT